ACAGGGCTTGTCCCTGGATGAGCTGAGGAGGAACATGCAGTTCCCGCCCATTGACCGAAACGGTTCGTGTCCAACTGGAAATGACTATCAAACTTGTGACTCATCTGTTTATGTAACAGCTTAAATTTTTCATTTTAATTCACATAGAATATGGCAACAATCATGTTGATATAATCCATGCAAATTTGTTTTGAAGTTAACATGACATTTTCACAAAGACAAGAGAACTGTGTGCGTGTCAGCATATGGTGCAACAAGTGGGTGGTTGTATTAGAGTGCGTGTCAGTCACTGTGTTCCGTGCTGTTCCCGCAGGATATGTGTCAGATCCCATGAGCACCATGCGTTTCCATTCATGCAGCAGCAATGGAAGTTTTGAGGACAGCAACTAGAAGCAGCAACTCTCTGAAGAACATCACACGCAAACACACTTGCATAAATGACATGTCTGATTACCATAATTATGAGTTTTCGACTTTTAAAAACCACTGTTCACATTGTTGTCAAAGTTGTAATGTTCAAAGAACTCGGACTTCTTTCAACCAAAATGGCACGACAAACATGAATCAAAACCTCACAATGAGTCATTTGACAAATAATAGTGTTATTAAAGAAACAAATAATTCAACTCGGAGCTCAGAGTAGAATATCAGAATTGTCAACTTGTAATTATTATGGTGAACGCACCATATTTATTCTAAGGACACATAACACTCAATTTGGATGATTTGTTTTATTTCTTTTGTTATTTTTCAGGCATTGTGTGTACTTTTGTATAAGAATGATGATTTAAACATACTTATTATACAGTTATACATTTTCATTATGCATACTATTATCTCAACGTTTTGATTTTAAAGTCAAAACTTGTATTTTTATTGTTTTTTATATTGTGTTTGGTGTTTCAGTGTCGAGTAAGTATCTGGTAGAGCAGGACAAATAAGTGTATTTCAGTATTTTATTCTACTTTCAAAAAAAAGCTAACAGCTTTTTTAGACAAATAAGCCAGCATGTGAAACAGGAACTTGACAAGATCATGACTGATGTCAACTAACAACATCTCGCCTTGCTTGTGGGATCGAAACATCTCAAGTTTTGATTTTAACAATGATCTGTATGAATATGACAAGAAACAAAGAAGGTATCATAGTATGTGAACTAATCCAGTGTAAAATCATAAGAACACCATTAAACTAGTGCCAAAAATCAGCAAGGTGTTCATGTCATTCACATCACACTATGCATCTGCATATTAAAGTGTTCCGGATACTAATCAGGAACACAGAGGAAAGTGCAAGCATTGAGGTTTTAGTTCAATTCTCTTAGTTAAGTTCTGAAGTATGTCAGTATACTGCTAGTGCAGCCTGACCAACTGGAGGGCTCTGCATCATGAATAATTAAATTATTTGTGCTGTGCGAGTCCTACGGTGTCTATTTTCAGTGGGCTGTTGATAGCTTCTCTACCAAGCACACAGGACTCACTATGGGTCTCTGATAAGGAAAAGGAAGTGCCACTATTGTAAACCCATTAATATGGGTCCAATCCTGCTCCTGGAAGGCCAATGTCTTGCAGAGTTCAGTTCAAACTTGCCCCGACACACCTGTCTGGAAGTTCTAGTAATCCTGAAGACCCTGATTAACTGGTTCAGATATGTGTAATTGGGGTTGGACCTAAACTCGGCGGAACAGGAGAAGGATTGGACACCCCTGGGTTAGCTGAAGGATTTACTATTGTTCTAATAACTGTTCTCCGTGTGAGCAGTTGTTAATCTTGGATATCCTGCGGGCCCAAAAAACCTTGCTTCGTCCAACGAGAAAGTGCTTAAAGTGTCTCTGCTGCTGAGAGTCTGTTTTAAATGACCATCGATTACTTTCGTTCTCCTGTTTCCATCCGACTGTCTGGAATGGAAGTCTACACTTGCAGTGTCATCTTGGCTTCCGTTTTCCGATTTATTAATGATTTTGAGGTCTGTAATTACTGTGATTGTTGGACTCTGAGGCTCGATACACTCTGTCTGAGATACATGTTCAGGTTGCAAATTGTGTTCTGAACTCTCCAGGGTCTCTTTGTTACTTGCTTCCTCTGTTTGGGATAAATGCGTGGTTTCATCAGTCATATTTTGTTGATTACTTCTTTCTGACTCTTTTCCATTTAGGTCGACATTCGTCGGTACATCCTGATGTTCAGATTCAGATGGTGCTCGCTCTTGAATGTCTTCAGATGTTGCTGTTGTCCCTAGGTTTATGACATCATCTGATATTGAAGTTTCCTGTCCAGCAATGTCTTTTTGATTGGTCTGTTCTTCATTACTCTGTCTTGACCAAGTAGAGACCAAAGAACCTTTAGCATCTCCAGCCTCCTGGACTCTTTCATCTTTGGTTGAGGTATGTATGCTGTCTTTGGAGTGATTACTGTGAGCATCTGCTTCTATGGCTTCAGCTTTGGTCTCTGTTTTCAAGCTTTCAACTACAGACTCTGTGTTCTCATTGAGATTTTTCCTTGCAGGAGTTTCATCTGCAATTTCATCTCCACTCTTGAGTGTTTCATCAAGGCCCTCGATATCAGTACTTGTTGGTGCGTCTGTAGCATTTACTTCACCATTTAGCCTCTCCTCGGTTTCTTCCGAGATAAGACCCTCTTCATCAAGAGGCTCGATACATGTCTGAAAATACCTTGATTCTTGGTGTATGTTAATCCAGTTACTTACTAGATCCACCCCAGCTGCTTTAGTTAAAGCTTCTGAATGAATGGCCAGATCTTCTGAATCGATGCTCAGAACTAGATCTTTGACTTTCTCCACAGGCTGTGATTTCAGTGAATGGGAAACAGATGAGCCACCATCATTATTTACAGAATTCACTTTCCTCTCCAAAGGTTCCACTGGATCACCATCCATTACTTCAGGAGCATCTCTACTTCTCAGTTCATTGTCAGTACCTTTCAGTTCTGACTCATTTGGTTCTTGTGCTTTGGCATCTGCCGAGACAATGTCATTTTCTGTATCCTTATTGATTGTCTCCTGTGTTCTCTGAGCGGTTACGTTTTCTATGAACGTTGTTGCAGATGTTTCTGATTCTTTATTAGCCTCTTCTTTGTCTGCTTTTTGATTGTCACTGGCCTGGTCCTCATGTTCATCACCCAACTGAGACTCTCTTTCTGAGGGAACAAGTTCAGCATCTGACTTGTTTTCAATCTCTTGCTCGTTGTCATCATGTTTTTTTTCTTCTTTCGCATCTATATCAGTTTCTGGCTTTTCATTATCATCTATAACTTCTTGAGCCCTATCACCAGTTGTCTCACCCTCTGATTTACCTTGCGTTTCCTCTTGGAGATATTCTTCTACCTTCTCAGCCTCTTCAAGACTGACGTCTTGTCTCTCTCCATTTTCAGCATCTAGCAGGTCATTATTCACCCCAGCAGGTTCATCCACTTCTTCCTTGGTACTGGCCTCTGTGTCATCATCGAGTGCCCCCCTCGAACCTACTTCATTTTGTTCTTCCTGTGAAACGGATTCCTCATTTTGGTCCTCAAAGTTGACCTCTAGTTTTTGGGCTGTATTTTCATCAGAAACGGCCTCTTCTTTTCCATCCCCTGCCTCTAAAGTATTCTCACTAATTTTGTTCATATCTGTCACCTCTTTCTTTGGCTCTTCTACCAACTTTTCACCCGTTTCTAGCTCATTCTCTACACAATTTCTATCTGCTCCCTCTGCCATCTCATCTATCTTCTGGTCCTCCATCTCTGCTTCTTCTTCCGCTTTCTGAGCCCCATCTTCCATTGTTTTGTCTTTCACTTTTTCGGTTTCTCCTCCATTATCATCCTCACTGTTTGGCTTCTCTTGCCCTTCTTCCTCTGCCTCAACACTAAGTTTGTTTCTAACCTGTTCATCTTCTGTTTCGCTCTGTTCATCATCCTCTTTATTATTACCTTGTGTCCTCACATATTGAACAGCCTCTGACTCATTTTGTCTATTCCCAGTCTCACTAGACAGTTCTTCAGCTTCACCTTCTTTATGTTCATCATTCACACCATATTCAAATTTTTCTGTACTGTTCTCATTTTCTTTCTCTTCTGCATTTAAATTTTCGCCACCCTCTAACTCATTTTCTTTCTCACCATCTTGGGTCTCTTCATCCCCAGGTTTCTCTGTCTCCTCTTTTCCCAGACTTTCACTTCTATCCTGAACCTCTAGCTTTTCTGCAGCTTCTTCCTCTGCCTTATCTTCACTAGATTTTTCTCCATCTTCCACCTTACCATCATCAACCTTGTCATCTGTCTCCTGTACCATTTCCCCAGTTGACCTATCAACCTCAGCCTCATCTGCTAGGTCTTCTCTTTCATCTCTGTCTGTCTGTCCATTGCTCCTCCTCTCTATGTTCTGATCTACGTCATCAGCATCTCGCTGCCTCTCAGTGTCACCTGCACCTGTTTCTGTACCATTCTCTGTCTGAGATGCCTGACCCTCTCCATCCATCTCTGAGACCTCAGTGTCTGTATTTCCAGTGTCCAACATTTCAGCATGTCTCTCTGGTTCTTGTACTAATGATTCTTTGTCTTTTTTAGACTCTGTATTAACCTCTGCATTTGTATCATCTCCATCCATAACTTTCTCCTCTGCCTCCTCAGTTTCAGTTTTTACTTCCTCTCTTTTATCTTGTTGTTCAGCCTCATTTGTACTCTCACTTTGTTCTTTCGCCCTGTCTAAACTTTCTGCTCCCTCCCGAGTCTCAATGATTTCTTGTACTACTTCTTCTGTGTGGAAATGAGGTTCCTGTCCATTTGTCTCTTCTGCAGGCTGACACCTCTCAACATTATCATGCACCCTTTCCTCACACACAACTTCCTGTGTGTTGGCTTCACTTTCATCCAAAATGTCATCCCGTGTATTTGATGGTTGTGGCGAAGTGATTTCAGCCATTGCGGTTTCTGTAAAAGTGAGCATTTATAATTAAACCATTTCAAATTTATACATATTTACAAACACAAAACTGTCAATATTTTAATATAAATTTATACTCATTTGTTGTGTAAAAAAATGTATCTTTACTAGTGCCATTTTGGAAATAAATAACTCTGTAAATAAATGTCGTTGAGCTTTATATGATCTGTGGACTGTGTTAATTAAAAGACGATTATTTTTTTTTACCTTGGCCATCCTGTTGGGTCTTCACTGAGGCCCCTTCATCTTCCTCTGTGCTTGTATCACTAAACTCTGGCTCTGAACTACATTGAGATTCCTTCAAAATGGCCTCAACCAACTTCTCCTGCATTGACTTGGCTGTTTACAGTCACGGGGAATGAGACAGACATATGACATCCATAACAAAATGTTAATGTTACCTTGTGAATTAACTAAATGAATAACAGTCACAATTAGTGGGATGCATTTCATGTTAAACATATTTAGAAATGAAACACAGAAAGCAATGAAACCAAAATAATAGTGTAAATGAAACGTTTATTACCACAAACACAGCAAACCCTTTGATTGGGAACACAACATGCAGCAAACAATCACTCAAATGCTTTCATCACACAGGACGGGTGTCCAAAAAGGATCCATAACCGTCTCTGATGAGAATACACATGTATTTTACACAACACGTGAAGTGTACCAATTAAGCAAAACAGTGTTTTTAATCATGTGTGACAGAAAACAAATCAAAACTGTTTAGATGCACATTGATTCACACACACTGAAATCAGAAACTTAACACAAAATCACAAATAGAAACACTGCTCTGTATTCCCAGCATTTAAACAAATCCACAAGAGCCAACACGTAATGCATACTATATAGATTGTTTATAGATTGCTTTGCAGTGCACTTGTCATATTATGAAATATAAGTAGCTCAAAAATATGTCTAAACATTGATGAATTGTGAAAGTCAAGACAGATCAGTTTATACAGAGCAGTATGCTTATGGAAACACACATAACATGCTATTAAAAAGACATTTGATGACAAACCAATCAATACAATGCTGTTTGCAAGACCACATAGAGTTAAACAAACTGGGCTCTCAGTGGTCTTGACAATTACACAGAGAATTATGTTACATATGTTCTGCTTTTAACACAATCAGAACTCGAGTAATTAGTGAGGTCATGTAATTGCAAAAAATGTAATTTCCTCTCCTCAGGTGAAGGCAAGTAAAGCTTTTCAGGTAATATTAGAGTAATAAAAGATGCTCATAAGTTAAAACTGAAATGTGTCATTTCTGTGCCTGTAGTGCCAATAGACAAAAATGTAAAAACAGATGTCTCTGCATATTAAGCTGTGATAGGAGAAAGTATTTTAACATCCGACAAATGACACTTCAGCTTTAATTAAAAATGCAGTGTGAAGTAACTGAACACTTTGTTTATCTTGCACCAATCCCAGCTAGTTTATTTGTAAATAGCATAAAACAGACCCTCCAGTTCTGATGTTGTAAAAGCTATCATGAATAAACACAAAAGATCATGACAGGCACACAGCACTATTTTCATGCAGACACTCACCTCTCTCCGGCTCATTTTCTTGTGGCTTATCTTCAGGTTTGGCATCCTCCCCAGATTGCTCACCTTCAGTTCCCTCTTTCTTGTCTGTGTCTTCTGACATTTCCAGGTCGCTCTTCTCCATGCCATCCCCTGGACTATCCTGTGTCCCAGAGTCTTCCGCTGCAGCTTGAGGAAATGTAACATCGCTGGACTCTGTGGCCTCTGTCTCCTCTGGTTTGGTCTCAGCTGTGGTGAGAACTTCCTCTGCATGTATGCTCTCCTCTGGAACATCAGCAGTGGTGACTTCTTTGGAGCCCTCCACAATTTCTCTTTCACTATTGTCATTGTCACTGCTGGACAAGCTGGACGTTCGACCAGATGAGACAGATGATGACCTTTTGACCTCTGAAGGAAGAAGACAAATAATCTGTGAGTATTAGGTGTTTAAGAACACAGATAGTTCATATTACATGTTGACAAATGTTGCTGAAAAGTGTGACCATAAAGTAATACGTACTAGACATACTGGCAACATCACTGTCAGAGTTGCTTTTCTCTTCATTTATATCATTTTCATTCCTGGTCTCAGTTTCTTTTTCTCTATTAGCAGCAGGTGATGGATTTTCCTCTACTTCATCACCATCTTCAACTGGCCCTTCATCATCTGCCTCAAAGTCCTCCTCATAGTCTATATGAGAGCACAACATAAATGTTCATTTAAAGATGCATTAAAATAACTTTTGTGTATTTCACATTTTATCAGTATATGTGTTCTATGGGATTCAAACCCATGGCCTTGGTTGGCTAGAGTCATGCTCTACTGCTCTTCTACTACTAACTAAAGTAGATGAGACCATGTTTTTTAACCTGCATAGTACAATAGACCTGCAGAGGCATCAATTAAAGATTGTGTTTTTGAAATCAGCAAACTCAGAGTTTGTACCGTCTTTGGTCTTTTTCTGTCGTGTTGTTTCTCCATTAGGTTCTGTCTCCATTTCCTGAGGCGTGTCATGCTCTGCATTGGAATGTGTTTCTATATCTACATCTGTAGCCTCCTTAGCATCAGAGGATTTTGTGGTTGGCAGCTCCTCTTTCACTCTTTTTTGAGGAGGGGTGGGTTTTTTGTCCAAGCCCATAGCAATAATACACCTGAAGAATGACATCGTACAAAACCATAACGCATCTTGATTAGTGGTTGACCAATGTGGGTTTTTTCAATAGCCAAAGCTAATAATGATAAATAGGGAGTGTGGTGGTCGGTAAGATTTTGTTAAAGTTATCCTCAACAAGGCTGTATTTGGTCAAAAACACAGTAAAAATAGTAATATTGTGAAATACTATTACAATTTAAAATAACTGTTTTATGTTATAATATATTTTAAAATACATTCTATTCCTGTGATAAAGCTGAATTTTCAGCAGCAATTATTCCAGTGTCTCATGATCCTTCAGAAATCATTCTGATATGCTTTTTGTGCTTCTTAATATTTTGGGGAATACACTTTTTTTATAACTTATTATTGTTATAAATGTATTTACTTTCACTTTTGATCAATATAGTGCATCTTTGCTGAATAAAAGTATTATTTAAAAAAAGAATTAGTGGCCCCAAACTTTTGAACGGTAGTATGTACATATATAATTGAAATTTATATATACTGAAATATATTTTCATTACTTGTAGCATGGAGAGGCTCCTTCCACACCGCAAAATCCAAAGTGTCCATGTCTGCCCCCAAGCCGAGCACCTTTCCTGTGTTTGAACTCACAGCAGGAGCTGAGCCGATCCACTTGCAGGCCATTCAGGAAGAAGGTAAGACTGAAGGGAAATCCCTGGTGGCGTCTTGACACAAACTGGAACACTTCTACAAGTAAGGGTAAGCAAAGAATGTTAATTTTCATTTGCCTTTGATGATTGTGTCTTATAATCAAAGAGGAGAATCACATAATATATGCATAATATATTCTAATATATGCGACACTACCAGGTAAGAACCACTTATTATCAAAAAGCCCCCAGATCAATAGTGTAACTCAATTCATGGTGTCCTTAAAATATGAATTACAAAGCCCAGATGTACAGAGACCTACACTGACCTCCTTCTCTCAGCTTCCCTTTGTAGACACACAGGTTCTCTCCTCCACAGTGCTGCTGGAAGAGCTTCACTTCATCTCTGAGGTCCATCAGATCATGGGACAGGTGAACACTCTTCCCAAAGTACACCATGCTTACTAATACTTTACTCTGGGCTGATGTCCTCTGGAGAGAAGACGGCTGCAGACGGAGGAATAGCATAGCGTATAATAGAATATTTGTAAGTGAAGGTTTATTTCAATGTAAATAACTTCAATATACTGACCTCTGTAGCAGCTGTTGGTGCCGTAGTGGGTCTTAACTTTCGACCCCTGAGTGTGCCGTTCGTTCTCGGCCCTCTTTCTTTTTTCTTTGTGAGGGGCGGCACAGGGGTCACATAATTGTTAATGACAGGAAGACGGTAGGGCGAGACAGTGCTAGAGAAGTCTGTTGTTGTCAACTGTTTCACGGCATCTCTGTCCAGCTATAAAACAACCCAGAGAGACAGAAATATTAGTTATTATAGAGTTATTACTATAACTACACTTAAAATCATAAAACAAATATGTTTGTTACTTGAAATAAACATGAACTAAAATATAAGAATATAAAACATTTTTTTCAGCTAGTTGCCATTTTAGTTTATTTTAATTTAGCTTAACGTGATGTACTAAAATTAAAAATTGATAAAAAATAAATATAGACACACACACACATACAGTACATATATATTCAAATAAAAAATTACAAAAACTTCTATATTAAAATAAAAAAGTAAATATAAAAATAAAAAATGATTCAAAATATTAATAAAAACTATAATAGTATCTTGATACTAAAATAACAATGCTCTAAGGTTGCTAGTTTATTGCTCTGGAGACCAGTGCTTATAAAACTTTGTTTTTCCTAAAAATCTGTATAAGAAATAAAACAAACAAATTGAGAAACAATTGTTGACTTACAGTAAAATTAATTAAAAAGACAATATTTATAATATTATTTATAATATTAATATCAAAATCTTTTGATTCTTTTAATACTTTAGCACAGCAGTATGCAAATTAGTAATATTAGACGTTTGAGTGTGATTTGTGCTTTGTAAGTGACCCGTGATAAGGGGCTTTGTAAGTGAACATGTATTAGGATCTCAAGATGGTCTCACTGTATAACTGAGGGGCTGATCGGTGTCATTGGAGGAGTCCCGGTCCCGGGGCCTGTGTCGAGGGGAGGATCTTTTCAGAGAGGCCGTGGCACTGTTGCTGTTTAGGGGCTTAAGTCGAACAGGCCTCTGCATCTTCCCTGGAGCTGTGTTTGGCCTGGAGGAACTCGGCTACAGGAGTATGACAATAACTAATTTACCAAATTTGAAATATAATACC